TATAAGTATAAATATAATGAAGTTTGCGATACTTTTAATATTATGAGAAAGTTCTCTGGTTCTTTATCCACTGAGTCTACCCTCAATTCCATCAACATAGGTAATCAATGTTATTTCTGTCACTACAGATTAGTTTGCCTTTTGACAACTTTGTTATCAATAGATTTACACAGCATATTCATTTATATTTGGCTTTATGTTTTTCAGTAAAATGAAATTTTTTTCTGTTGTTTCTTGCATTAACAACTAATTGTTTTCATTATGAAGTCATATAACATACAAATCAATGAGTATTTGGTTTTCTATTCCACTACAAATGAACATTTGGGTTATTTTCATGTTTTGGTAATTATGATTGCACTCTTTATGAACATTAGAATAAAGTCTTTGTATAGACATGTTTTTACTCTTTATCTAGGATACATTTCTAAAAGTGAAATTGCTGAGTCATATGCTATGTATATGACTAAATCTATAAGAATCTGCCATATTGAATTTTAAGGATTATCTTCACTGACAAATAAGATGGCCAGTTTTAAAATTTTACCACATTGGCATATATGTAATGGTATRTCATTGTGCCCTCATTTTATTTTCCTGGTTGACTCTTTATGGTGAGCACTATTATATTTGCTTAGACATTATATCTGCAGGGACATTGTTATATTTTTTTTGGAAATTTCAAGGTTTTTCCCATTTAAATTGTGTTGGTTATCTTATCATTCCATTGTGATAGTCTTTCATATAGTTAGGATGCAATACCATTATCAGATATATGTCTATACATATTTTCTCACATTTTGTGGTTTATCTTCTCAGGTTCTAGGACATTGTCTCCAGTAACATATATTCTAACTTTTGATGAAATCCAAATTAATAATTTTTGTGAGTTATTTTTGATCTATATAGATCATTTTTGCCAACACTAAATTTGCCCCCAAATTGCCATATTTTTCCAGTAATATTTCTATATCTCATATTCATATGTTGATTGACATACTGTTATGTTTTTTATGAAATAGAACTTATTTTTTATGGATTTCATTCTTAAAAAAATAAAAATTTTAGAACTTGTGTTGTTTTTTTTTTAATTGGATATGCATTTATTCACTGGTACCAAAGATACCTATATATCCCCAAATACCCATTTTCCACTTCTTATAACAGAATCTGCATACTTTTTCTGGTCACATGAACATCTAGAATAAAGGCTCCTTCCAATTTAGGTATATCTACATAAATAAGTTTTGAACAATACAACATAAGGGTGAGTGGTATTTGTGTTTTGATGATGCCATGCTTTTAGGAGAGAGGAAAGAATCATATAAGTCAGGAGATCAAGTGATTTACAGATGTCCAAAATTTTACCAAGTGGATGGGTCCAACACTATAACATGTATTAATGGCAAATGGATAGGAAAGCCAATGTGCAAAGGTATGTTGATGGCATTATAAATTTATGTATAGTGTCTTATGAAATATTAAATTTTCTATACTATTCTTAAAAATGAGTATAGGTTAATTTTCAGGCCAAAACAAAGTAAGTTTAAGGTTAGAAATAAGAAGTTGGAATTAAATATACAGTGGTTAAGCTCACAGCCCAATGGATCTCAGAATGTGGTCTTTAGACCAACTGCATAAAATTTTTGAACAGATTTTATAAATTCAAATGAAAATTCCTGAGCTCATCTTAGACCTAGTGGAAAAAATAATCTTGAGGTGTGACCTTGAAATTATTCATCAAGTTCCCCAAAGGATTTTACATACTCCTCAATTTGGGAACCATTGCTATAGTCTTTACTACTATCCATGCACCTAAAATTCTCTGAGGAATTACACATAATTTATCATAGTATCCAAAAGCACTTATAAATGAATTTAAAAAGCTATGTTTCTATAAATATAGTTGTACTTTTCTGTTACTTTCCCATATCTTTAGTTTTTTAATTGATAATCTTCCTCTTTTTTTAAATTTTTACTTAACTTTTTTTTGCTTTATTGGTGCATTATAGTTGTACATAACATCTCTGAACTGTGTTTTAAGAATAACAAATTATTCTTCAAACTGTGTTCTTAATTCTTGACTTATTCTCTAAAGAGATGCCTCTTTCAGTTTTTAAGAGGCTAAAATGTTAATTAATGAGCAAGATAATTGTATACCGAAGAGTGATGCTATAAAATCTTGTTACTTTTGTTGCATTTTAAAATTCATGTCACACTTATGGAACTTGTAATATTTGTTGTCCTCAACCCAAGGGGAAATATTTCATTCTCAGTGGTTTCAACTGTTCTAGCAAAGGATAGAGAAGATATCTAAAGGCATGAAAGGATAGCTCTGACAAAAAAAATATTGCTATATCTTCTTTTCCTTGCATTACATGTAAATTTATTAAAATCAGAAAAGTTCTTCATGACAAAGTATCCTTTGATTTTTAATCCTTCTTAAAATGTATTCTGAATCTGATTCATTGATTAGCTACTCAAAATGAACACTAGGTGGAGATACTTTCTTTTCTTTCTATTCAGATATTTCCTGTGTGAATCTACCTAAAGTGGAAAATGCTAATATAATATCAAAACAGATGCTTAAGTATCCATCTGGTGAGAGAGTACGTTATGAATGTATCAAACCTTTTGAAATATTTGGGGAAGTAGAAGTGATGTGTCTAAATGGAATTTGGACAGAGCCACCTCAGTGCAAACGTAGAAGATCATATTTCCTAACTTTTCTTTGCTGGAGGACATAATGTGAGTAAAATATGTTGATAAAAAAAAAGTCAAGTCATTCTTATGGATTATATTTTCCAAATTCAAATAATATGATATTTCTAAAGATTTATTATTTGGCAAAATGAACTAAGAAATATGGTATAAGTTTTTCAAAACACATTTAACCAGATTAATAGAACAGTTACAATCTGAGAAAATTCCTCATCTTAAACGTTAAGACACTCAGTAAATTTTGACAACTCCAAGAGATATCTACTTTGAGAAACAGAAAATAGGTCATTGAAGACTGATCATAGAATATAAATATACATTTGGGCATCTTCAGTATATAGAGTATATTTGAAAATATGTGACTGAGTCCAGCCAGGGAATCACTCTATTTTAAAAATAAGTCTGGATATTTGGTCATCAGCATTCTAATATTTAAAATTCAGGAAATGAATAATGGAAATATTATATCATCCTTTTCCATTTTTAAAAATAATTTTTCCTAATTTATTTTCTCTTACTTTAATTTGAACCTACCTTTGGCTGAGGAAAAAGTCAGTTTTATGTAAACCACAKAATTAGGTCTCATTTATGAATCTATCTTGCCCTACTTGCTCTTTCACCTGATATATTTAGATCATTTATATTTAAAATAAATATTGGGCTTTTTGTTTCTTGTTTTATTTGTTTAATTTCTCTATTTCTAATTCTTGTTTCTTTTCAGGGAACATATTAAAAGAATTTCATTTTGATTTATCTTCCTATTTTTGAGTGTATCTCACCACCTTTCTTTTTAAAATTGTTGCTTTAGGAATTGCAATATATATATATATATATAATATATTCCCAACTTACCACTCTACTAGTAATGGCACTTTATTTTCGGTCAAAACATGGGAACATTACTTCCATTAAAATCCATTTATGCTTTAGTATTTCCTGTTTGTACAATTGTTGACTATCAATATTTTTATCACATCAGTATTCTCTTTTATTATCTTTCTGGTTTTTAAATGTTTCTGATCCTTAATATGATGAGTAATTTTTAATTTTACACTTGATATTTTAGATATTATACTTGAGGACTTCCCCACCAATCATTTTATTTAAATTTCATGTTCAGTGGTTCTCCATTACAGCCATGCTGGATTTAAGTCAGGTTTCTCATTCAGCCTCTACAGGCATACAGGATCTCTTCTGCCACCCCTATATGTGGCTGGTCTCTGGTCATCAGTGCCTTATGATGTTTTTATTGATTTTCTCTAGATTAGGTCATGTATTGTTTTAAAGATCTCTTAGACTTGCAAGGCTGCTCCCTTCCTTGTCCTTAAGTTAAAGAGATGAGACTTTCCATGAGATTTTCCTTATTTATGTCTACCTAATATCATTTTGGAGATTGTCAGTCTTCTCCAGTACTCCATCTAGAACACACAAGAGCCCCCAAATGAACTCATATAACAACCTGATTGCCATTCCTTGAGTCCTGAAGTTCCTAGCCAGAGTGAATTCTCTGTACCTTCTAGAATCTTCTTATAATGGTATTTAAAAATATTTATGTCCAAGATTAAAAATTATGCTAGCAAAAGGGGAAGGGAAGGGTGTTGGGGATAGGAAAGAGAGTGGAAAGAAATGGACATCATTACCCTAAGTACATGTATGAAGACAAGAATGGTGTCACTCTACTTATTCTCTATATGTGTAATATATTCTGCTGTCATATATAACAAATTAAAATTTTTCAAAAGCCCCAACATAAAAAACGTGAAAAAAAACGGAATAGGTAACAATGATTTTTACTCATCTTGTCCAAATTAGGAAGACAATATTTCCCTATTATTCTCTACAAATTTACTTCCTTTGAACTTTCTTCAAGGAGTTTTTTTTTTTTTTTTTGTAATGAAAAGGAAAATTAAGAAGAAGTCAGTAGGGACACAATAAACACTGCGTAATGTCATATATAATAACAAGAAACTTTCTTAGTTTGTCTTCATTGTTTACCTGTTCAGGATTTATGTATTAAGACACATTTTTTAGAATTGAATCACTACAAAGCAGACACATTTGTTGATGGTTTATATGCGCCTTCAGTGAGATGAAAAGAAGAGCTTAAAATGTAACTCTCATTTTCTATGATTAAGATTTCTGTGAGCAATCATTTGGTACCAGAAATCATAAAATATTGATGATATCTAAAGTGATGTGTTTGTCCTGGCTTTAATTTTATCCTGTATTTTGATTTGTTCTCTCCATAAATGAAATGGTATTTTTCCAGATTCCACAGGAAAATGTGGGCCTCCTCCACCTATTGACAATGGAGACCTCACTTCATTCCCATTAGCAGTATATCCTACGGGATCATCAGTTGAATATCAGTGCCAATCCTTATATCAACTTGAAGGTAGCAAGACAGTAATATGTAGAAATGGAAAGTGGTCAAACCCACCAAAATGTTTACATAAGTACTTCAGTGATCTCATGGGACCTGGGAAAATCAGCATCTTGAGTATGATACTTTTCTGTGTAAAATAGAAATATTCACATATTAAAAAAGAAATATTCTCTGCAAGGCTTCTCTACCAACAATTCATATGTGAGGAAATAAAGATTAATAAATTATTTTTAATTTTAAAATAATTAATAAATGCAATTATAAATTTTTATTAGCATGTAATTGTTGCCCTTATTAATGGGGGTCAGTATGATATTTCCATATATGCATACACTCAGCATGATCATATCCAACCTTTATTTACCCACCCTATCATACCTTCTCAACCTCTATTGGTCACTATTCTACATTCAGGTCACCCTTTTTAATATTCCACCTATGAGAGTGAATGTATGGGACTTATCTTTCTATGTCTGGCCTACTTTGCTAACATAGTGTCCTCCAGTTGTATCCATTTTGCTGTAAATGATAACAGCCAATTCTTCTTTGTGGCTGAATAATATTCCCTTGTGTAAATATACTACATTGCCTTTATCTCCTCATCTATTGATAAACACATGTTCTCATTCAATATCTTAGCTACTGTGAATAACACTGCATGGGCATGCAGATATCCCTTTGGTATGCTGATTTCTTTTCCTGTATATATGTACCCAGAAGCAAGATAGCTGGGCATAGGGCAGATCTAATTTAAGTATTTTGAGAAACCTTCYGCTCTCCATAATGATCGTACCAATTTAAATTCCCAACAAGAGAGTGTAAGTATTCTTTTTCTCCCACATCCCCACCAACATTTATTAATTTTAGGGTTTATTGTTAATAATAGACCTTCTAACTGGGGTGATGTGGTATCTCGTTGTAGTTTTCATCTTCATTTCCCTGATGGCTAATGATATTTAGAGGGGTTTTTTTAATGTATTTTTGGCTGTTTGTACTTCTTTGAGATATGTCTATTCACAAATCATTTGCCTGATGTTTAATTGGATTACTTGTTTAGTTTTTTTGAGGTCATTATACATTCTAGRTATTAAYCCTTTGTGAGATGCATAGCTGGCAAATCTTTTTCCCGTTCCATGGCTCGTCTCATTCTATTGACCGTTTCTTTAGCTGTGCAGAAAGTTTTCAATTTAATATATCAACTTTGTCAATTTTTGCTTCTGTTTCTTGTGCTTTTGTGGTTCTATCCAGAAAATTGTTGCTTGAACCAGTTTCTTATTTCTCCATATTTTCTTCTAGTAGTTTTAGAGTTTTCGGGTTTTACATTTAAGCCTGTGTACATTTTGAATTTAATTTTGTACATGGAAAGAGGAGTCAAGATTCAATCATCTGTATATTGATATCCATTTTTAGCATCATTTATTGAAGAGGTGGTCCTTTATCCAATGTTTTCCTTTTTGGAATTTTTTTGGAAACTTTGTTAAGAACCAGCAGGTATAGATGCATGGATATATCTATATCTATCTATCTATCTATCTATCTGTCTAAATACACATATATGTGTATACACACACACACACACACACACACATATAGAGATAGAGAGAGGGAAGGAGAGTGTGTCTCTATTCTGTACCATTGGTCATTGCATCTGTTCCTATGCAAATACTATGCACTTTTGGTTGCTATGGTACTGTAGTATGTCTTGAAACCAGTTATTGTGATGCTGACAGCCTTAGTGTATTTATTTTTTCTCAAGATTTCATTAGCTTTTCGGGGCCTTTTATGCTTCCATATGAATTTTAGAATTTTCTTCTCTAGTTCTGTGAGGAATATCATTCATATTTTAATGGGAATGGCTTTTAATCTGTAAATTGCTTAAGGTATTGTTGCTGAAGAAATATATGCTTAAGGTATTATTACCAACACTAATTCTTCCAATCCATGAGCATGGGGAGTTTCTTATTTATTTTGTATCTTCTTCAATTTCTTTAATCAGTGTGTGGTAGAGGTCTTTTGTTCTTTGCTGTTTTGTTTGCTTGTTGTAAAGATTTGTGAATGGGATTGCTTTTATTATTTGGTTCTCAGCACATTCATTATTGGTGTATTAAAAATCTCACTGATTTTTGTATATTGATTTTGTATCTTGCTACCTTAATGATTTTATCCATTCTAATAGTCTTTTGGTGGAGTCTTTTGGTTTTTCTATATATTTAAACATATCATCTGCAGACACAAATAATTTGACTTCTCTCCTTCCAATTTGTATGCCCTTTATTTCTCTTATTTCACTGTTCTGACTAAAATTTCTAGTACTATACCGAATAAGAGCAGGGAGAATACATACCCTTTTCTCATTTCAGTATATTGCTTGTGGCTATGTCTTGTATGGCCTTTATGATTCTAAGGTATGATCTTCCCAAACCTTATTTTCTCAGGACTTTTATCAGGAAGTGATGCTGAAATTTTTCAAATGCATTTTCCATATCTACTAATCGCATCATTTTTATCCTTCCTTCTGTTAATGGGATGTATTATGTTTATTGATCTGAATATGTTGAACCATCCTTGCATCTCTGGGATGGAACCAATTTGATTGTGGTGAATAATCTTTATGATTCTCTGTTGAAGCACATTCAGATTTGCTCATATTTTATTGAGAAATTTTACATCTATGTCCATCAGGGTTATTAGTCTACAGTTTCTTTTATCTTATGTTCTTGTTGCTATGGTACCAGGGTAATGCTAGCCTCAGAGAATGGGTTGGGAATGATTCTCTCTCTTTCAAATCTTTGCAACAAATTTAAAAGAAATGGAATTAGTTCTCCTTTAAAGATTTCAAAAAGTTAATCAGTAAAAGCATCTAGTCATGGGCTTTCCTCAACTTTTTATTACCGATTCAATCTCTTCTGGATTCATGTTTTCATGGTTTATTTTTGGCAGAACCTAAGTGTCTAAAAATTTATAAATTTCTTCCAGGTTCTCTAATTTGTTAGCGTACATTTTCTCATAGTAATCCCTAATGACTCTTTGTATTTCTGAGGTATTGGTTGTAATGTCTTTTTTTTTTTTCATCTCTTATTTTGTTTGAGTCATCTTTTTCTCGGTTAGTCTTATTAAAGATGTGTTCATTGTTCTTACCTTTTTTGATAACCAACTTGTTTCAGTAGTCTTTTCTACTGCTTATGTATGTGACACCCTCTCTATCTTATACATTTTATAACTGAAAATTTATAACATTTGACCAATATTTCTTTTCTCTTTGTGAATCTGGAGGTGGAAACCAGGGCTTGTGCATGCAAGGCAAGAACTCTACCAACTGAATTATATCCCTACCCTTTTGACCAATACTTTAATTAAAGAAAAACCAGCCAGTCATGGTAGTGCACTCTTGTAATCCCAGAAACATGGGATCCTGAGGCAGGAGAACTTGTCTCAAAATAATAATAATAAAAGAAAGGAATGCAGATGTAGTTCAGGGTTAAAGAGTCCTTGGGTTCAACTTCCAGTCCAAAAAAGAAAAACAAAATCAGCCATGATACCATAATGATTTTACACTCCAAAATGCCAAGTGCTTAATATGATAAATGAAAGAATTGGTAATAAAATATAATCATCACACATTAACCACCTAATTCTTACATCATTTACTACTTTAACTTTATTTTAATCTATCTGTTATTCATACAGAATTTGTTCAGGAAGAGTTTTCAGGAAGAATTTCTAAAATATTAAAACCATTCTACTTGAAAACCCCAAAGTCTTGGTAAAAGACTCGTTTCTAACCTAATATTATACTCATTTATTTCTTTCAGATGCATGTGTAATATCAGAAGAAATCATGGAAAGATACCACATAACCTGCAGGTGGAAAGGACAGCAAAAGCTTTATGCTTCATCAGGGGACATAGTTGATTTTGTGTGTAAATATGGATATTCTGCATCAACGCGACCTCAATCATTTCTTACAAGGTGTATTGATGGTCACCTGGAATATACCGTTTGTACATAAGAGCTACTCTTAATCTCATTAAAATGTGCACTTAAATTCAGAATTTTTATTATTAATCTAGTTTTCAATTTTATTTTAAAACATTGTTTAACTCATTTTTACTCATAAATTAGAATTTGTGTTGAAACGTGCTGATGTGTTTAGAATCTGAGAGGCTAGAGCCCCACATCTTAAAAGCACTGCATTCAAATTTGGCAAACCAAAGTGCCATGCGTCCTATTCATAAAACATCTGTGGCAAGAAATTAGATACTTGTCTGTATCCATCATTCTCCAAACTGAAAGTTTTCTACATAACTTTTGGGACTCTCTGAGACTCTGTTCCACAGTGCATGAAAAGATAGACTCTCCATCTTCAAAATTATAAAATTCAGAAAGATCTAAACACCAAACTAAGTCATGACTTATATTAGTCAAAAATATAATCAATTACTGATTATTACCTATCCATAAGCAAATGTAAAAATATGACATGTGAGCTTCTAAAATATATGAATCTAGTACATTTAACAATGTAAACAAATCATAAAGAGGAATAGAAGCTTAATTGGATATATAACTATAAAACTATATAACTATGGAAAAAATGATTGGCAGAAAATGCAATAAAATCTGTAAAAACTATATTTGTGCTTAGAGGTAAGAGGATTGATTTGTTTAATTCCTTTAAAGAGACAGTCTCTAAATTATGATGGTTTAATTTGTGATTTTTTTTTTTACTTTACAGTAGTATGAAAGTGATATGTATTCAGTAGGAATTGTACTTTAATCTGTTTCTGCGATTAGAAATACATGGTAGAAAACTTTTATGGTATTGAGTAACAGCAGTTAACTGCATCCAATTGGCCTTGTGATCAACAAAGTGAGCAATCACTATAATACAGGGTACTGTTCTGCTAAGCTATGATATATGATAGGTTGGTATATTAAATGCATGTTCAACTTAAAATAATTTTAATTTATCATGAGTTAATCAGGATGTAACATTCTAAATTGAGTATCAGCATTTATATCATATTGTCCAATTTTAAAACCTTTAATATACTCAGTTTTGAACTTTGAGAATAAGTCATTTTAAGACAATAATGCCTAAAAACCAAGGTGATAAACACCTTATTGGTAATGATCTCAAGGTCAAATAATTCTTTAATGAGTTTTTTGTTGCAGATTTCTTTTTTCTGTTTTTAAAATTTCAGTAACAAGATCTTGAAGTGTAATTTTATATATTAGAAATTCAGACAGCACTATTTAGTTAAAATCACTTTGTCTAGAAACATTTTTGATTTTTAAAAAGCTATAATCTTAGGATGAAAATAAAGATAAAGATAAAACTTTAAGGTGATAAATTGTTACCTCTTATTGCATAAAATCATAAAGCTTATATTAAATGCTTTCCTCTTGTTTGAGATCCTGATTTAGATAAATTGAATTGAGACAGATTTTTCAATTTTAATGAAATTGGTTACAACAAGCAAGTAATCCTTGTGTTTAATTTTAACACCTGAATATACTTAACTCAGTCCCATTGGGCCACTATAGCAAATATAACTTGTCCATTATGGCTTATTTTAAAAACACATATCTTTCATACAGTTCTTGGAGCTGAGATGCCCAAGACCAAGGCACAGCTAACTTGGTGTCCCAGGAGAGCTTATTCTGTTTTGCAAATTGCGTCTTCTCACTAGGTAGAAGCGGCAAGGAAGTGCTCTAGCCTTTCCTTGTAAGGGCACTRTTTCTACTCTTGAGGATGGAACCCCATCTCCTATTCACCTAAAAAGACTTCATCTTCTAATATGCTCACTGTGGTCACTAGGAATGAAACAGTGACATTTAGGGGGACACAAACATTCAGGACATAGAAGAGAATAGGGAAGGAAAAAGACAGTCCATGCCACAGAACCAAAAGGCAGTAGTGGTGTTTCCTCTTCTATTTCACAGAGGAATTTCAGCCAAACATTGTAAGACAGAGATAAAAGAAGGTCATTTTATACACACACACACACACACACACACACACACACACACACTCCAACATGGGAGAAGCTAAATGTAAAAAAGCAAATGTTAATAAATCTTAAGGGAGAAATAGATTGTAAAATAATAAAGATGGAGTATGGAAGCACCCTACTATTAATACAATAAATAGGTCATCCAGACAGAAAATCAATAAGAAAACCTTGGACTTTAGCTGTATGTTACACCAAATAGACTTAACAGATATACATAGAATATTCCACACAATAGCAGAATACATTATTCTGTAGTGCATACACAACACACTCCAGGATAGGTCATATGTTATGCCACAAAACAAATTTCAAATATTTAAGAATGCTGAAATTATATCAAGTATCTTTGCCAAATAAAAGCCCCAAATTATATGTCAATAACGGGGAATGTTGGTATATTCACAAATATATAGAATTTGAATGACATCCTCCTGACCTTCTCATAGGTCAATGACAAAATTGAAAGAAAAATTAAATGACACTTATAGACAAACAAACCTCAAATCATAGCATACTAAAACATACAAGGTGCAGAAAAGGAATTTTGTAAGGGAAATATATAAAGTATATAACTATAAATGCCTACATGATTTAGATCTCAAATAACAAAGCTTCAAATTTTATACCTCAAAGAACTAGAAAATGAAGAAGTAACTAAACTAAAGATATTAAGAGGGAGGAAATAAAGGTATCCAAAAAGAAAAAAACAATATTAAGAAAAAAAGAAAATACTCAGAAAACACTATTAAGCATCAACAAA